TTGTGCATCCAACCCTAAAAGCACATGACAACCTCTGCTTCCCTCTACGAAGGGTCTGTCTTTTACTTTATGCAAGAGTCAAGGTGATCTTCACCTTTCCCTTTTCCATTTTATCCTTTGGCAAGCACCTCGTGTTGGAAAGATCCTGATATATATATATATATATATATCCAATTGGATGTAAGTTAGCATGAACTATTATTATTGACATCACCCAAAGGTGAATACGTTGGGAGGCAAAACTATAAGCCCCTATCTTTCTTAGTGTCCGGTTGAAACTCCATAACCATAAGTATTGCGTGAGTGTTAGCAATTGTAGAAGACTATATGATAGTTGAGTATGTGGACTTGCTGAAAAGCTCTATTCTTGACTCTTTCTGATGTTATGATAAATTGCAATTGCTTCAATGACTGAGATTATAGTTTGTTAGTTCACAATGAAGTTTATGATCCATACTTGACATTGTGAATAGATTGTTACTTTAGTATGAGAAATCATATATATATATATATATATATAACTCCGAATAAGACAACAAATGCCATTATTAATACTGTCAACGCAAGATCAAACGATGGTATAGCAATGAACAAAAGAATGACACTTGGAAATATGGTCCGAATAATTTCGATAGTAGTTCCATGAACAATCCTTTGTGGGATTGGATTAGTTTGCTCGTTGAAATGCCATAAAGCGTGAACCAACATCCGTGATACGAAAACCAAAATAAGAATGAGGAAGAAAAAGATATCATTCTGTAAGTCAATGATCATGGGGACACATTGTTTTGAGGACCACAATTTCCTGCACTGTGCCTGTAGTGATTTCAGAATTCGGCAGCTTAGCCTACTAAAAGATCAGTTACAAGAGCACAATGCTTTTTGTGGCTTCCTGCTCGGCAGAGAAGCCACGCTGCCAGGGCGGCCCTGTCACCCGGAGAAGATTTCTTTTCTTTGCTGATTCCTCTCAATGAAATTTGCGAAGAATAGCAGAGAGAAATGGTAACGTAATAAGGGAAAGGGAGCTGGCTGCTTCCATATCGCCCCCAATATATATATATATATATATATATATATATATATATATATATATATAGGTGTGCTAAAGTGAGCCTGAGCGCAATACGCTTATTCTACGCTCCGGCCTAACAGCGTGCAACCAACCAGAAAACATGCGCGTGGTTAGTGCCTTGGCCTCCAATTTTTCTTCCACCTACTAGTAATCAGCCATGTTGGATATAGTAACTGAATTAATTCGGTTACTGGCTGCAGCAATGGTTCACCGCTCCGCCACAACTTTTTTATTATATGCGTCCTCCTGATTACATATAGTAATCATCCATGGAAAATGTAGTAAAATATTAATTTGGTTACCGTATGCTTGTGATGGTTCATCATCTCACCACAGTTTTGCTTTATTACTTGTCTGCTCCAATCACACATGGTAATCAACCATGTAAAATATAGTAACATAATTTATTGGGTTACTGGTTGCATAAAAGCTATCATTTTATGTCAGAGAATTAAGGAGTGG